ACAAGTAAAATTGTCGTCACAATTTTATTCTTGATCTAGCATAACCAGAGAAGAAACTTTCCGTAAATTCTATCGAAATATCCCTTATCTAAACCCATTTCGCTTGTTAACCTCTCTAAATTCGGAGCCTTGGACGTGACAGAGAACATGGAGAAAGTCACGCGTTAAAAACAATAGAATTTTGGCAGTTGAAAGTAATTTGCATAACCTCAGAGCGCATGCTCTCCAGCTGACATAGCCCCTTTAAAAGCGGTTTTGTGGGGCTTTTACAAAGGAGGAATGAGAGGTCACCAACAATAGGGATGGGGTAGGGCGGGATGTGACCTCCTCATTCCTGCAAATGCTGCGGTAGAATCTCAATCAAACCACGACTTACAGGTAAGTCTCGTTTAATTAACAATTCTACCTCGCATTTGCATACAATCGGAGGTCACGTGAGACTTTAAAGCTGAAAGCCACAGAAAACTCAGACAACAAAAAATGGTGAATGAATACAACATAACATGTATTTGTAATAGGCCTCTTACATGATAGTAGTAAGTACTGCAACAACAACTGATATCGATATAAGGAATTGTTTGAATATGCACTGGTTCAAAGAAGGGAGTTATTTGAGATTACAATATATTATTTATCTCCCAGAATTGCTGCAGCAAAGTTGTTTGCAGTTAGGACAGGGCGATCATAGAATTTGGCAAAAGTAGAATCAGAACGCCATCCAGCAGTGTTCATTATGACCTGAACAGGAACATTCAATGCTTTAGCTGCTGAGGTAGAGGCACCCCTAGTGCTGTGGGGTTTGAAAACCGTAGTATCAATTCCCGCATCCTTCATGGTTTGTTTTATCCAACGTGATATGGTGTCCCTTGAAGCTGGTCCATGAGGCTCAGCATGGCAAATAAGCAACTGCTTTGGCTCTTTCCTGACAGGAGCTGTTCTTTTAACATAAGCTGAAAGTAGCTCCACGATACACAGTCTTTTGTCCAGGGGGTAACTATGAAAAGTAATGGGTAGTAAATGTCCGTTCTGGCCCCCTTTGGCAGTTGTTTGTTTTAAAACAGAAGAGATGCGAAAGACATACTTTCCAGGTAGGGTACTCATTTCTTCCAAGGACAAGGAGTGTAAAGTCTGAACTCCCTGTGCAGACCATAGGGCCATAAGCATGACCAGTTTCAGGGTAAGCTGTTTCAGTGACATATCATCAATGGCTGGAAATGTATTAAGGTGGTTCAGCACTATTTAGGGGTCCCAAGTCTCAGAGTAGCGTGGAAGGGCTGGCTTTTGATTAGACAGGCCAGTCATAAACCTTGACACCAAGGGGTGGTCACCCACTTTAACACCATCAACTTTAATGAAACTTGACAGTGCACTTCGGGCAGTTGCAACCGTACTATATCCCACACGTTTAGATTGCAGAGTAAGGAAATCAAGGACTTGCTGCGGCTTGGGATTGACTTGGCTGACGTTGCAATCAGAGCAGTACTTTAACCAGGCTGTAATATATGTGCAGTATTGTTTGCGGGTTTCATCTCGCCATGACGCCACGATGATGTCCTGAGGTTCCCCCGTTATGCCTTGAGCAGCTAAGGACGCCCTGATAAGAGACATCCATGAAGTTGAAGTTTGGGATATAACTTCTGGTTGATGTGGGAGAATAATGGTTTTGCGATGCCTTATGATTGATATTGGAGGAGGTTTCATCAACTGTAGGAGCTGTGGGTACCACACCTGGGTTGGCCAGTATGGGTACACAAGTATGGCTGTTGTTCTGCTTTCTTGGATAAACTGAAGGACTTTACCTATGAGGCTGAAAGGAGGAAAACAATAGATAAGTTTATATCTGGACCAATCCAGAGTGAATGCATCAATAGCTGCTGCACCTGGATCTGATTTCCAGGCTACATATGGAGACACTTTGTGGTTCAGCCTCGATGCAAACATGTCTATTTCAGGATCGTCCCATTTAAGTTTAAGTTCATCAAAAATGGTAGGGTCTAGGGACCATTCTGTATTACTGTTGTGTGATTCTCTGCTAGCTCTATCAGCTTCTGTATTTAATTTCCCTGGTATGTGAGAGATTGATAGTGCCAGCTGCCTCTGCATGCACCAGATGAGAATTTCCCTAGTTATATCATTGCAGTTCCTAGATTTAGAGCCACCCATACTGCGGATGTACGAGACTGCAGTTGTATTGTCACAAAGCACTTTGATGGTACAATTTGTAAGGTGACTGCAGAGTGACTGCAGTCCCAGAAGGATGGCTTTTAACTCTAGGAAATTAATATGAAGTTGGGATTCCTGGAATGACCATCTACCACTTGCAACACTTGAGGTACCCTCTATCACTGCCCCCCAGCCCGTAAGTGAGCTGTCGGATGTCAGGGTTAGATGTGGGATTTGTGGTGTGATGGTTTGTGGATATTGGTCAACATTATTTATCCACCAAAGGAGGTCTTGTTTGCACAGGGGTGAGAGTGTTACTTTCCCCTCAAGATCCCAGCCATTTGCTTGCAGTGCATCAGTTTTGATATTCTCTAGAGATCTATAAAATAATG